TGGCTGCTGCTGGCACCACTAAGCCTGCAAAGTTAAAAATGTGAATTTCTCTGGGAAGCTGAGACAGAAGAATCACAAGTCCAAGCCCAGCCTGGACATCTTAGTAACTTAGCAAGACTCTGTTTCAAAATGAAAAGAAAGAGGACTGAGGCTGTAGCTCATTGTGAAGGTCTTGGGTTCAATTCCCAGGAAAAGGGTATGGGGGGGCTTCCTAATGCTTTAAACAAGCAAACAAACTGAACTCCACAGGTGCTTAGTAATGTTTGCTCATTCTTATTTCCTGCTGAGTTTGCCTTATTCCTTAAGTAAAACCTCCCGAGGCATTTAACATGACTGCACTTACAAAAATTTAGTTTGTCTTTTGAACCAGGAATACATCTACTGCAAGAGATTTTTTTTTTTTTTTTTTTTTTTTTTTTTTTTTTGTCTAGAGAGATCTATTTTTCTGTTTTTGTTATCAGGGCCAAGAATTATCCCTGGTTGGGTTGTAACTTGGTAAACATTTTTTTCCTTTCATTAAGTATTTGTTTTGGGGGGCTGGGGATTTAGCTCAGCGGCATAAGTACCAGCTTTGCAAGCAGGCGGTCGTGAGTTCGATCCCCGGTACCAGTAAAAATGAAAAAAAGACAAAAAAAAAGTATTTGTTTTGCTTTTGATTTTGGGTTAGGGATGGAATCCAGTGCCGTCACACTGAGCACACTAAACACATGGTGTACCACAGACCCCTTCCTGTCCTCTCTCCTCCTCCCTTTCCCCTTCCTTTCCTTTTTCTCCTCCTCCTTTTTTCCCCCGTCTCCCTTTCCTCCTTTCCTCCTCCTCCCCTTCTCCCCTTTCTCTTCTTCTCCGCCTTCTGTGAACACTTTCCTTCCCCTGCCCATTCTCCACCTCTTCTCTTCTTTCTCTGTCTGGCTCAGGTTGGTATTCACAACTCTCCTGCTTCAGCCTCCCCAGTGTTGGGATTATAGCCATGCATCACCATGCTTGGCATGTTGTCCTTCTTTGAACTTTTAAAGGAAACCTACCTATTTTTATGTCAATTTTTTTTACAGCATTTTATGCTGTGTCTCCTTAGTCTCCATCTAGAGCTCAAACTGTCAAATCTAATTAGTAATGGTCCTCTGTCCCTGACTTCTGGTTTGCACCCAGTTGTGCGCTCCTTTTTGACCTATACAAAAAAGCATACTAGGGACATATGCTGTCATCTATGTGCCTCACAGTACACAATGCTCCTGAGCAGAGAGATGAGAAATGTGTGGGCTGGCTGAGTGCAGGACATCCCAGCCTCACTGCCACATTGTGCAAGCGCAATGCCACTGAGTCCTTAGTATTTGTTTTTGTCAATGTTGTAAATAGCCACGTCAGAAACTAATCCAATGAAGAAGAGATGAGGACTTGCATAACTCTAAAGCCAGTTACAAAGAATCTTTCTTACTAGCTGAGTGTGGTAGTACTTGCCTGTAATCCCAGCACTCGGGAGGCTGAGGCAGGAGGATCCGTGTGAATTTGAGGCCAGCCTGGGCTACAAAGTGAGCTCAAGGCCAGCCTGAACTACACCATGAGGCCCTGTCTCAAAAAGATTTAAAAAAAAAAAAGCTAGCAAAAGTCAGGCAGGTTGGCACATGCCTGTAATTCCAACACTTGGGAGGCTGACGTAGGAGGACTGTTGTGGTTTCAAGGCCAGCCTGGGCTACAATTGGGAGTTCAAGCCAGCCTGAATTGCACAGCAAAATCCTGTCACAAACACATGGTAGGAAAAACAAACAAAAAGTTTAATTATGATCTCAAAAAGTATAAGAAATGATTAGATCATAACCTGATACTGTTGGACAATTTGATAATTGTTAAGTACATCCAAAGCTCTAAATAAGTTACCTAAAAGTAACACAAATCTTTTTCTCAAACCATTTAACTTGGCGATAGTTAACTCATCAAGGACAGTAACAGTGCCATTTTTAGAGCCATTCTAAGTGTTTTGTTTTTTTCCCTCAAAACAAGACCAAACAAAAAACTTACAAGACTTCAAAAGGTTCCTGAAATGGTGACTAGTCTCCAAGGAGGTACAGTAGGAAATTACTGTTTGAGGCCCAGTACCTAAAACACTGCTTCAGAATTGGATGCAGTGGGCATGCACTTACGTCAACTACTTGGAAGCTGAGACCAGTTCGATGCAATTCAGTAAAACCCTGACTCCCCTCTTTCTCAAAACAAAACAACTCTGTCCTGAAAGCTCAATACATTTACTTTTTTAAAAAAACATTTATTTAGTGGTGGAAATCAAACTTAGGACCTTGTGCTTGCCAGGCAAGCGCTGTACTGCTGAGATATATGCCCAGTCCAACACATTTACTTTTTGTGTGTATGTGTATGTTTTTGAGACAGGCTCTCACTAGGCAGTTCAGGTTGGCCTTGAGCTCACTTTGTAGCCCAGGCTGGTCTTGAATTTGCAACAGTCCTCCTGTGTCAGCCTTCTGAGTGCTGAGATTATAGGCGTGCACTACTACGCTTGGCCTAGAGTTACATACTGTAGAATATATATTTATGGCTATGTATATTTTTCATGGAAATTTTACTCTCCTAGTTTCTAGGTTAATGGAAACATTTGCTTTTATTTTGTTACAAACACAAGCATTTCCAAATATCAAGCTGTATTAACATTAAAAACCAGTTGCCGTCTAAACTGGACAGAAAGATTGTGTACACAAAGATGGGTAGGCATAGTGGCATATACTTGTAATCCCAGCAGTCTGGAAAGCTGAGGCAGGGAGACTGCAAACTCAAACCCAGTCTGGGCAATTTAGCAAAAGTGTCTGAAAATTTAAAAGGATTTAAAAAAAAAAAAGGCTAGGGGATACAGCTCAGAGCAAAGGCCTTGAGTTTGATCCCCAGCACCACCACTACCACCAAAAAAAAAAAAAAAAAGGCAACAAGCAAGGAGGTATCGGCCATGCTTATAATCTAATGCAATACATTTTGTCAAACAGAGTTCTGCAGGACCAACTGCAAGGCCAGGGCCAAATGAAGAGACCACAGAACCTCAGCAACTGCACCCTGGAAAATAAAGTCAGCTGCCATTTCCATCAAACATGCCCAGCGACTGTGGATTTGAGGAATGAAAATGTTTAATATTGTTTTCATACAAACTAAAAATTTTGCTGCCCAAGATGAAAAAGTCACCAGTAATTATTCTAATAACTCACGTGTATACTAAATGTTGTTTATTATGTTATGTTATGCTTATTAATGATATCAGTGCTGGGGATGGAACTCAGGGCCTTGAGCATAGTAAACATATGCTCTACGATGGAGCTCCATGCCCAGCCAAAATGTTTCATTGAAATGCAATGAATATAAATTGTCCACTCTCCATCTAAATATCTAATTTCAATGTCCTCTACTGGCCTGAACACATGGCCTACTTTATACTTTTTAGGTTATAACTAATGCAAGATTCTCAAAATAGTTTTCTAACAGAAATGACTGATAGCACTGTGGAAAAAGACATTATTCAGAGCATTATCTATTTCATTCTTCAGTCAAGGTAACTCATCTACTTTTTAGACTTAAACTTCTAAAGAAAACTGCTATGATCTGGAGAGATTGGCCATAAAACTATTTGTATTGAAAACTTAGCCAGCGAGTCTTTAGTGAACTTCATTCATTAGCATTCTCAGTGGGAAGGTTTCCATATCTCCGTGTTCACTTTATACTTTAATTTGGTTAGTAGGTCTTTGTTTAACCGTCCTATTGAAAGGAGAACAAAGGCGGTTTGGGTGACACAGAGGAGTAATGCACTGTATTTTATCTCTGAAAAAAGCCCGATGAAGTCAGAATACTCTGATACCTCTGATTTTCTTCAGGACATTTGGAACCACAAATCAGCTGGAGGATAAAGATCCTCGCTGTACTTAACAGCAGACACCTTCAGAAGACAAACACCTTGTTGACCATAGAAATTATGCTTTGCCAGCTACCCCGGCCCAAAGGCCGATTATCACACCAGAAGAGCAGCTCAGATTCCTGCGAGTGTCTGTTTCTTAAATCCCATCTCCTCCAGTAGAATCGCTGGCCAGGATAAGTTCTTTTCCTGACTACTTTTCTTTATAAAGTTCTGATGATATTCAAATGATAGTGCTGGGTAAATGAAAACAGGTCGGGATTTCACTTACAACAGGGAAACTTCTCTCCAAAGGGAAATACTTTTCATTCCTTGGCATCTAATTCTCAGTTACAGAAGTTCCTCACATTCCTCCTGCTGGTGATTTCTTTCTCCCTCAAAAGTCAAGCCCCAATTTTCCTTACAGTTTGGGCTTCCCACAGCTTTCTCCTGACACAGGCTTTTGATTTTCCTGTTGTTTGACTTCACTTAAGGCAAGTAAGCTCACCTCCATCGCTTGGGGACATCCACGAGTTTCTACATTGCTCCTTTCCTCCACTGTTACTTTCTGGAGAATGACTATGATGAACTTTCTAACTTCGCTTTGTAACACACGTTTTATTTTCTAATCCACATTTCTTCTTGTAGTTTTTTTGAACTTGCTTGGATGCTGCTGCAGACAGCCATCCAGTAGAGGTGGAGGCCACCAATTCATTTCACCTAGGCCACTAAGCAGTTGTAAGATGGTGACAACTGTGGGTCTCTGGTGACCTGGACTAGATTCGACTCACTGACCTAGAGGTGAAAGGCTCTGTATTCCATTACTAATCCCTTGAGCCATCCAGCCTCCTGAAAATGATTCTTTGGTTTTATTACTGCAAAGACCATTTATAAAATCATGAACTGGATTTAGGAAAGCAACCATGAAATAGCGAGGGACACCAAACTGATTGAAATTCCTTAAATGTGGTATGGCTGAAGTCTCTTGGTAGGCTGGGGGAAAAGTTTTATCTAGGCACCTCCATTATTTCAGTAGCATGACCTGCTCACTTAAACGTGGAACTTTAGATCCACTGACCATGCCTCAAGGCACTAAATCCTAAAGAAAGAAAATGGAAAAGCAAACTATGAAATAGCCAATAATCTTTATTTTATACTTCCCCCGCCCCTTGTCCCTCTCCAAAAAAGCATTAATGGGTATATCTATGATTGTGAAAATATTGTATAAAGTATTTGAATGATCTCAAATTAATAAAACAAAAAACACATATCTCAACATACTTTTTGTTTTTGCAGGGACACAAAAATTCTGGCCTCTAGAACAAGGAAGGCAATGATAACCTGCACTTTTTAAAAGGTCTACTCCTTTGCAATTTCACTCCTTTGCAATTTCACATTTATGGCAAAAAAACACATTTCTGTAACCAAATAGTAAGTTCTAAAATATGATGAAGTTACACGCTAACATCAGTTGACTTGGCAGTAAAAAAAAAAAACCATCATACTTTCTATTAATATATTTGTATTAGATTCAAAGCCCGTATTCTAGCACTAGAGATCTCCATTATGTGGGGCCAAACTGGGATTATTTCAAAATCAGATAGAAATCCATGTTTATTCCAAGATGCTAAAATATGCTAATAAAGTTAAATTTGATGTTTTTACATTAAAAATAAAATATTTGTTTTACTTTCAGATACTTATAACATATAATAAATAGTGGGCAGTACAGCAATATAATAAAATTTTATGATACCCTGAAATTTGATGTTTTCTTAAAAACATATGTCATTTCAGCCTTAAAGTACAATGTCAATGAACAAATTTGTAGACATAAAACAATGTAACACAAAATGCTGCAGTTATGGGCTTTTTTAAAACTTTCATGGAAACTACATGTCCTTTTAATAAAAGTCAAGGTTTACAGAAACAAAGTAGATTGCAAAGGAAACAATTCCAAACCCTAAGCTCTGGATTTGGGATGCCTGTGTCCCTTCCAGCTCCCTGGGTCCTCTCCCCGCAAGGGCCGGGGTGCCGCACAGCTCCACACCCCTCGAGGGGAACGACTGCACCATGGCTCCTGTCCGCTAGCCCCTCTGCTTATGTACAGCACTAATTACAGACATGGCTGAAATCACGGGGGATTTCAGAGAAAGCCAGAATTAACACGATAAAAATTTTAAAAATAACTACTTCATAAATATTTATTATTTACATTAGGGAAATTTTTTAGTATGAAGTTTTTATACAAGTTGATGAAATGTACAAGCAGTGAGAAGAGACTCCAGCAGTTTAAAGAAGGGCAAAATTAAAATGCAACGAAGGTATAAAATACATTAGAATAAACAAAAATAATTTGCACAGAAGCAAACAGGACATGATAGAAACCTTTTTCTTAAAAAATATAAGGTATTTCACAAAAGCCTGAACATTTTACATGTTAGTACTAAAAACAGGGCGAGGGTGGGGGGGAGCTTCATATATTCTCATCACAAAAATATTTACCAGTACTCCTCCAGCTGGAGTTTTCTTTTGTTATGATTATCTTACTATTGAGGGAAGGAGTTGAAAACTTTACAGATTAATGATATCATCTTTAAATTACAATCAAGGCGGTTTACATTATCTTCTCATCTAACACCTTAATGAAAAGGCCTTGCAGATAATACAGGAAGTCAAAAGGGGAGACATACGGTCTTTATTAATAATACTCGTCTCTGGTAATAGAAAAACGGAGGCCGGCAGCCCCGAGACCACGCCCCTGCTGGGGTTCTGTCCTCCCGCGGCCTTGGCCCCACGGGCCAGCCTGCTCTGCAGGGACACCTGGCTTCCCTGGGCGGCCGTGCTGTCCCTATGTTCCGGGCTCATCATCCACCGGGCATGGGGAGGCAGAGCGCCCACCGCCCCTGCCGGGAGGGCAAGAACACGAAGGCCCAGCTCAAGCTGCTGCTCCGCCCGCCCGTCCTCCTGACGTCAGTGCGCTCGGTGCTTCCTCTTCTTGTGCTTTTTGTCTTTCTTCTTGCTGGCACACTTCGGGCAGAACCACTGCATCTCTTCTGGTGGTGCCGCCATTACCCCGACGCAGGGCCTACACGGCAAAGACAGAGACACGTTTCCTCTGTGTTTATTCTCCCCCACACTCCACGCCACACTGGAGCCCGAACCCAGGGCCTCCATCTCAGCAATATCCCCAGCCCTTTTCATTTGTTAATTTTGGGGCAGGGTTTGTTAAATTGCTAGTGTCCAGGCTGGGCTTGAACTTGAAATCTTTTTGCCTTAGCCTCCCAGAGTTCTGAGATTATAGACATAAACCACCATGTCTGGCCTATTTTTTTCCATCCTATATTTTCAAGACATTCTTAAATGTCTTGAAATGATGTATTTATGCCTATTCTTTTCCTTTTTATATTTTCAAATCATTTCAAAAGCCTACAATCTTGCTTGGAGTGGTACCACATGCCTGTAATCCCAGCAACTTGGGAAGCTGAGGCAGGAGGATCACTATGAGTTTCAAGGCCAGCCTGGGCTAACCAGTGACTTTATTTATTTATTTATTTTTTTTTTGTCTTTTTCATTTTTTATCGGTACCAGGGATCGAACTCACGACTGCCTGCTTGCAAGGCAGGCGCTTATGCCGCTGAGCTAAATCCCCAGCCCCTAACCAGTGACTTTAAATTCAGCTTGAACTACATAGGGAGACCCTGTCTCAAGAAACAAAATAACACGAAGTCTATGATCTATTTATCATAAATCTAAATCAAGTGGCTCTTAATTTTTGTATCACTGTTTATTGCTGTGCATGTGGATTATTAGAGAGATTAATTTCTCTTTCTTATTTGCCAGAAATACTGTAATCCTGAGCAATGGCTTTTTCTCCTGTAGATACACATGTATCATAACTGAACAGATACTGTCCTACAACTGACTGTTTTAAAACAAAGTAAGAAGATTGAATATATTTTGGTTGAGTTTGTTCAGTTTTGAGGAACTGCAGATGAGGCTTAAAACAGATGAATCTGGGCATGGTAGTGCATGCAAGTAATCTCAGTAGTGGGGAAGCTGAGGCAGGAGGATCTGGGCTATACAGCAAGACCTAATCTCAAAAACAAAAAGAAAAACACCAAACAAACCCAATCCCCGACCTTACAAGCTGTCTTTATCTGTGTGGTTTGTGCCAAGCCTACAAAACATCATCTGTAATGATACCATCAGGTACCACAGCTCTATAGAACAACAGTGGAGAGGAGGAAAGGACAGGCCTATGTCACCTCTTGTTTATTTTACAAGGATAGATAACCTAATTAAAATAGTTATACTTTAGGCTAAATAACAACAGTTTGAAGACTTGGTTTCTGCAATTAATCTCAACGGTCGAAAGCACTAATCTGCAGAATACCTCCATGCACTGAGCTCTCCTGAGCAGGCAGCAGCAGCCAGTGTGGCTGTCTGTGCTGGGACACTCACCAGTGGTACCAGTCGTCACAGTCGTCACAGCCGATCATCGGACTCCCATCATCAGGTTTGTTACACCCAGGACAGATCCAGATCTGATTTCCCCACTCGTCTCGGATCTGGGGAGAGATCAGGGATGGAATGGGAAAGAGAAGCAAAAAGCAGCCAGGTAAGAATCACTGCTGCATACTAAAAGCCTACAAACTAACAAATTAAGCTTAAAAAAGTAGGAGAGTTAACACTTCAATGCTATGATCATGGTCATCACTGCTTTAGACTCAGGTGAAAAAGAAAACAGCTACTAAGTATTCCACAATAAGACATTTCTAGTGAATATTCTACTCTTGTGTGTATATCATAAAACCCCAAGTATTTAACAATGTCTCTAAACAAAATGACCTACAAATTCATAAAGATCTGGGTCTTTATGGCAGTAATAATTGGTATTTTTGAGCACAACAAAGTAGGGTTTCCTCAATCACATTCGCAGGCATGGGATTAAATATATGGCAAATGTGCATGTATCCCCTTATTACTCATTAGCCAAACCCTTCTCTTGAACCAGCTGATAAGATCAAGGATATAAAAGAGTTGTTACTAAGTAACTTTCCATTCCCTTTATGACATTTTTAGAAAAGTACAATCAACTAAAGGGCAAATGAAATAAGGAGCTCAAGAGGCCAGAGAGCTACATATTTAAACATTATTTTGATACAAGTAGTGCATGCCCCCACTTTATTAATTTGGAAGTTCTAAACAGGAAGCATCTCTAATTTACCATTTCCTCAAATTTTACACTGAAAAAAAAAAAAACAATCTGGAAGAATTCCACAATTCTATGATGTGAGCACTGAAAAACAGCATGAAGTAAAAACTAAACCACAGTTTTCACACTAATTTAGCACACAATTTCATTTCACTTATTTTGCAAGGTATGGACTCTTCCTGTACATTTTAAAATATAACACAGACTAGATATGCAAAAGGGATGACTTCTCTGTGTGCGAGGAGGCACTGAGGGCACAGGTGTTTCACTCCACCGTCAGGTTTACTTAAGTCTACTATTTTTGAAACTCTACAAAGGCAAACTCCACTGACGATTTCTAGAGGCAACTGGAGCAGGAGTATCTCTGTGCCCTCTGGTTTCAGAGCAGGTATGACACAGGGAGAACCAGCAGTCATAGGCGCCAGCTGTCTATGGCCGCAGGCGGGGCTGCTGCTGGTCGACCTTTCTGGAAATCAGCAGTGTGTGACTCTGCGCTACAAGAAAACACTGCCACAGCACCCAAAACAATGCCAGGCACTTCACAGTTTACATGTTCTTTTAAACACACTCCTTTACTTAGGCAGTGGAAAAGAAGCTTTGGGATAGGGTAAGAAGTGGGAAATGAGTTCCAACATCACGATGAGGCACAGACAGAACCAGCCTTTTTGCCTAATTGCAATCTGTCCCTCTAGCCACAGTGTCTCTCTAGGAATTAGGTTTTCAGCCCCACTGTCTATTCCATTTGGACCCATCTCGGTGGACAATCCACTAGACAGCCAAAGTTTTCAAGCTAGATGACAGCACAGAGACCACTGCAGCTATGGCAGATCCCTTCAGCACAGATAAACAGATGGAGGCAGAGGGGCAGGCAGATCAACTTGCCTCACTGATGGTGCTGCTGCCACAGTCAGACACACAAAGCAGCTGGTCCTTGAATGAATGACCAAGCTGATGATCACAGCTTTTTTATAAATCACATTTTTAAAAAAATTTTGTCTTTTTCGTTTTTATCGGTACCGGGGATCGAACTCATGACTGCCTGCTTCCAAGGCAGGTGCTTATGCCACTGAGCTAAACCTCCAGCCCCCACATTTTTTATTCTTTGTCAATTTAATATTTTTCTTTTATTTTCATGTCTATATCCTATGAGTACATACAAGATTTTCTTTTATGCTTGTTGGTATTATTGTAGTCTCATAATAATTTACTTACATTTCCTTCTGAACTCCTTTAAGCAGTGTGATACACAGTTTAGAATAATAAATATCACGAGTCCAGTGTCTACTCCCAAAGGCCAGCATCATCACTAGCCAAGGGCATCACTGTAGGCAGAGCTGGGAGTCACGGCAATGTCAATGCCTCCACTCACCCAAAATATTTGGTAAGCCAGGTGTGGTGGCGCACGCCTTTAATCCTAGCACACGGCAGGTTAAGGCAGGAGAACTGCTGTGAGTTCCAGGCCAGCCTGGGCTACATAATGAGTTCAAGGCCAGCGTGGACTACATACGGAGACCCTGTTTCAAAAAACTAACAAAATAAAACAAAAAATTTATTGTCTGTTCATGTGTCACTTTACATGGCCCATAGAACATAAAAGCACTCCATGACTAGACTGAATTTAGTGTCTGAAGAGATCGGATATTAAACATGGGAAAATACCTAAAACCAGTCTCTGGACAATGTGGGCTCATTTAGCCTGGTGGGTTTTCTAATCTGAATTTATGTGTGGGTGCTCAAGAAATTGTGGCCTAAAAGATCATTTCCAGTAAATGCATGTTAGCCAGTACAATATAGATATTGCTATAATTCAGAGATACCAGCTGACTCATAAAATGTATATTATGTGAATTATACTTATAAGTGAATAATTAAGAAATTTTTTTTTTTTTTTTTTTGTCTTTTTGAGATAGGGTTTCACAATGCAGTTCAGGCTGACCTTGAACTCACTTTGTAGCCCAGGTTGGGTGCAAACTTGCCACAGTTCGCCTGCCTCAGCCTCTCAAGTGCTGTTTTTTTGAGACAGAAACTTACTATATAGTTTAGGCTGGCCTTAAACCTTGGCAATCCTCCTGCTTTAGCCTCCTAAGTATTAGAATTACACATGTGCACCATGAGACCTGGCACTGATTAAATACAGGATTTATGTATCACTATTTGCATATGTAGTCACTGATATTGCTGCAGACAGGTATACAGTCATATTCCAAAACAATATAAAAGTAATGAAAAACAATGCTTTGACATATTTATGTAGACTGAGTATGAGAACATAGTAATACAACATTTTTTTTGGTACCAGGGATTGAACTCACGACCTCACACTTGCCAGGCAGGCACTTATGCTGCTAAACTAAATTCCCGGCCCATAATACAACATTTTAAAGCCAAATGGAATGAAAATACTTTTCTAATCATAAGCACTTGAGCCTGAGATTCAATAACGATGTGAAGCAGTTCTTGGTAATTGATATTTCTTTGACACCATCAGGAAGGCACAAAGCGGGACAGCACGTACCACGTAAGTGCTGACAGTCTCAGTCACCACACTCCGCACGGGCGCCTTGGAGCTTCCTGCTGCCGCCAGGGCAGGAGCCAGAGATGGCATCAGAGCGGGGCACGCTGCTGCCTGGGGCAGGAGTGGCAGCGGCAGTGGGGTGGGGTTCATGTGCACAGGGACTGCGGCTGGTGTGGGAGGCGGTGTCTTGGGTCTATTCAGAGAAGGTGCTGGTTTAGCCTCCGGGGCTGACACCACTTTGCTGATGACACTGCAAACATGAGAGAAAGAAGTAAAAGTTAAAATAGGACAATGGGGTCAAATCATATGTTTTAAAAAGTATCACAAAAGAGCTTCTTCTAGTAGCAAAATGTTTTGTTTGGTTTTTGTTTTCAAGCACTTTGGGAGGCTGAAGCAGGAGGAGTGCAAGTTCAAGAGCAGCCTAAACTATAAGTGAGATCCTAACTGAGCAAGAAGGCCCCAGATTCAACCACCAGCCACTGAAAAACAAACAAACAAAATAATAACTGTACCAAGGCTGAGGATGTTGTATGTTCCAGGGTCTGAGTGTCACACCTAGGATGGGGTGAGGGAACTTCAAAACCTTTTCTGACAAAGTGGAAATAAAAAAAGCTGTATCAGAAGGTTCTGGTGAAAATCTCAAGACAGAGAGACTTTACAGTATGCACAGATGTAGTGTTAATGCAGGCGTATATTCATGGCTGTTGCTTGTGACAATAACCAAGCTGACAAAAGGAAAGTGAGAACATAAAACACAGAACAAGACAAACAGCACATAAGGCAGATTTTAACTCTAAATAACAATAACCATGTCACACACACGGTCTAAATGATCCAATTATCAGACTGAGTAAAATGGTGAAACCCGAATGTATTTTATTTATGAGACAGGCCTAACAACAGAAACACCGCAAGAGCTACAAAAAGATGCACAAAATATAAAGCAATACTACACAAAGCAAACTTCTAAAGAACTACCAGTGATAATGACAGAAGGTTCCGATGTGCCAGGAAGGTACATAATAATATAACCTCAAAATGTATGACAAAAGTGTCTGTAAGAAACAGAAAGTTACAGTGGAGATATCAGCCTAACTCTCTATGTAACTGACAGAATAAATGTTCATAAAAACCAACGACACAAAGGTTTGGGGGCTAGGGATACAGCTCAGTGACAGAACATTTGCTAGGAAGCCTGAGAAGTGCTGGGTTTGATTCCTAGCCTTGGGGGGAAAACGATATAGAAGGCTTGGACAACAAAAATAACCAAACTGGCCCAATGGCTATTTTAGATTTGGGAGAGGGTTCCAGGGGATTGAACCTAGAACCCTGTGCATGCTAAGCTCGAATTCTGTTACTGGGGATACTTCTAGGCTTTCACAATTATTTTAAAACTCTGTATTTAACCAATGCAGAATATTTTTCCCAGAATATACTGTGTACTGAAAAACAAACAAACAAACAAACAAACAAACAAAAAAACCAAAAAACACCTCAGCAAACTTCATAAGGTTGAAAAATGATTTGAATAATTTTTGTATATACTTGTTAATTTTGCTGCATGGATAATTTTGTGAAGAAATGGAAAGCTCTTTGTTTTAATTGCTCTATCCTCACTATCTAACATGCTAATTATTTAGCAGGCACCTGATAAATCTGAACAGATTTTACTAATCAAACATAAACACAAAATCTAGTCCCAAAAGTAGTGACAGTCTAGATAAAACAACACATTTACTTTATTTTTCTAGCCAATCAAGATCACAGGAAAAATAAACATAAGCTCTATGATGTGAGATGGTAGGGAAAATACAGAGCATGAATGAAAGGAGAAAAAACGGAAGTGAAGGAATGAAACATTTGGGCTAGGAAGCTGGGAGACAACTCAGCCATTAATGAAAAGAACTGAACAAAAGGAGGGCAAAAGAAGGAAATGGCACTGTGCTCTCCGTGTGACTATAAGTGAAAAACGCCTGAGAGCTGAGTGAAGAAGAGTTCTTAAAGGAAAACCCCAGGGCTGACAGAGGGAGTCAGAAAGCTACCTACAAACAGCCTGTTCATCATTTTGGTTCAGTTTTACCTTTCGTGAGCTATCTTGGTGGAAAGTGTTTCTTAGAGGGAAAGCCTGAATCTATTGTCTAAAATTATGGATATTCATGGGCTCTAATACAATGATCATCTGAAACCGAGAATCAGCTCAATTGTGAGTTGTAAAATGGGATAATTTGGCTTGTCTTGTGTGTGAGTGTGTGTGCGTGTGCACATGCGTGTACAGTGCTGAGGATCAAACCCAAAAGCCTCGGGGATGCTTGGCAAGAGTGCTACCGCTGAGCCACGTCTCCAGCCCCTTGTCTTTTCTTTTTTGAGACAAGGTTTGAGTATGTTTCAAGCAGGCCTCAAACTTGCTATGTAGCCCAGGCTGTCCCTGAACTCTCGGTCCTTCTGTTCGAGATTTCCCAGTGCTGTGATTACAGGTGTGTGCCACCATGCCAGGCAGACATCGTATAATTGGGGTTATATCACAAACCATAAATCCTACAGTGCTTTAAGACTGGTAAAATAAGACAAAATAACACACAATGTGCCTTGGATTTTCTTTTCTATTTTTGGTACTGGGGATTGAACTCATGACCTCGTGCTTGCCAGGCAGGAGCTTGTGCCCCTGAGCTAAATCCCCAGCCTATCCCCTGGATTTTAAGGAAGACAGTGACTTCACTACACAACCATTTTGTATAGCACAAAATACCATAAGCAAAGTTAAAAGATAAAATAAAGAAAATTATTTGCAATGTGCAAAGAAATAGAAAGTATTCATTTAATTAAAAGAAAAAACTAACAGTCTTACTTAAAATATGTCAAAGAACGGAAAGCAAGGAACAGAAGCAAAGAACAGTAGTAGGTGGGAAAAACATTCTGTCTTCACAGCAGTCAAAGATACCAATGCATCAATACAAGGCCTTTTTTTTTTTTTTTTTGTATTGGGGATTGAATCCAGGGCCTTCCCCGACCCGCACCCCTTTTCTTATTATTTTGAGATAGCATCTTGCTAAATTGCCCACGCTGAGCTTGAACTTGTGCTCTTTTGACATCAGTCCCTAGAGTAATGAGATTATAGACGTGCCACCACATTTAATGAGATGCCTTTTTTCCTCTTTAAGATGGCTTTTTAGAAGTAAAGACCAAAAAAAAAAAAAAAAAAAAAAAAAAAGTAAAGACAAAAAGATCAACACTACCTAACTCTCAAGATTGGGGAATAGAAGGGGTGGTGACACAGTATTTCAAAATGGCTATCAAAACCTTAAAAATATATCGGCTCTTGACTATCCACTCTATTTCTAGAAATTTGCCTTGAGACAGCAGACAATTTTATATAAGGATACAAAGAGAAAAACATTACTTTCAACTTAGTTTACAATTGTCAAAAAATTTTAAAACTAGAATGATTATAATTTAAAATACTCCACTATAGAGGATTGGTTACATAAATCATGACCAAAATATCATGCTTTTCTTGGAAGTGGTCACGCACACACACACATCTAGTCCCTTCACAATACACTTATTTCTTAAAAGTTGTAGATTATATGCATAACAGATTCTAACTTTTGCATGAAATAAGAAAGCAGACAAAGAAGCTGAAAGTGGTGGTGCCGCCCTGTAATCCCAGCACTCAGGAGGCTGAGGCAGGATGACTGCCATGAGTTTGAGGACAACGAGGGCTACATAAGAGAATTCACGGCCAACCTTCATTAACCACATAGTGAGACCCTGTCTAAAAAAAAAGAGAAAGCAGATAAGAATGTGCGAGTGTATTTTTTGAAAGAAATTCAAAAGAATATATACCAAAATATTCAGAAATAGCCTCTATAAAGTGGAATTACAGATGACGTTCAAATTTTGGTTTATCTATAATAACATATATAACGTGTAATGAAGATAAGAAAAAAGTTAAAAAAATTGTCATAATGGATACATTAAAATGTCATTGAGAATTTAAAATGATACTTTGAGTTGTACACATAATTTCCTTGCTTACATATTTATTATACTTTATTAATTTACTAGGAAAAAATGATGCTTTGGCTAAAGCCTTTTAGATAAATTACCATGGTCTATTCCTAAATTTATGGAGTAAATCCTCAAGCTAAATCAAAGAGTCCCACAATTTACTGTATCTAAATTGCCAGAGATTGACAGAGATTGACAACAAAACAGCAAAGCGGAGAAAACAATGAACCTCATATAACTATGCTATTTTAAAAACATAATTAAAATAATAAACTTGAATGGCCTCTAGATATTGTAAGGTAATATACTCATACCTACACATATGTATATGTATCTCTATATATCTATCTATATACACATATTATAGTTTTCAAATCGTACGTATGTATGTAGTAGTGCCAGGGATAGAAGTGGTTCACACATACTAGGCAAATGCTCTACCACTGAGTTACATCCTGAGCCTTTTGCCATTTTTTGCTTTTAAGGAAGGGTCTTGTTGAGTTGCTCAGGCTATCCTTGAACTTGTAGTCTTTTGCCTCAGCCTGCTGAGTAGCTGGGATTATATAAGCATACCACCATAACCAGCCTAACATTTTTTTTTGAGAAATAAAAGGAAAAATCATTGCAGTGAGCACTTTGTCGACGAGGAAAACTATTGTAATTCTTTGTTTTCAAAGAATACGATTGACATTGTTTAGGCACTAAAATGATTCATTTTTGCAACTCTGGAAATTCCAGAGAAAATTAACTGGAGTTTTAGCTATTGTGATTTTACCCTCTAAGTGACTTGTCATAACTGAATACATGGTTTTAAACTATTTTTAGCATTAACAGTACAACATAGTTTCTTATCCCCGGTGGGATAAACTGTCAACATTTAATCGAATATGATCATTATAAAAGTAATTCTGGATTCCACCGGGCACCTCACTGCCACTCTTTGTGGTTCTATACCTACAGACAGTGCTTTGCTTCCTGAAGTACTCTCCTGAAGTATCACTTTTTCCCTCCCATTTAACTGCATCGTGCATTCCCATCGAGAGCTGTAAGCAGCATGCAGTGTCTGGGGAGAAAGCAATACTGCCCACAGCTGTGCCCACGATGGCTCCGGACTGCTAACATTACAGCTTTGGGAAGATTTGGTCATAGTTCCCTAACTGCTGTGAACACTGGCATTATTCATACAAACATGCAGGAGGAGGGATTTGAGCAGGATTTCTTTCCCTGTTTCCCCACCACAAA